AGTCAGGATCAATTCTCTGCAAGAGATGAGTTCTTGAGAAGACATGAAAATAGTAATATTAAAGTTTAAATCAAAGGACTTCTATCTTAAACATGCCTTGTTTTTTTTCTCACCATCTACTTGTATAGCTAGATCGTGACAATGATGTAGCAGTAAAGAGTTTAGTTTTGTCAAAATAGTTTACTCTAGGATTAACATTAATAGTTAAACTTATTTAGATGTAAACTCTTGTGAAGTGTAAGAACTATAAATTTTAATTGTTTAGGTTGGGGGGAGGGTGGGCAATGTAGATAGGAAAGAAAATTTTAAAAATTTTGAGATGGCAAATAAAGATCAATTTACAAAATTTTTAAACTTTCTAAGCTTAAAAGAATTATTTTGGGTTAAATGCATCAGTCAAGGAAAAAAAAGGACACCAAGTAAAAAAACAATTGAATAGTGGTTAGGGAATTTGATTCTTTTGTCTTAGATGATAGTCTGTATAATGTTTATAAACAAAATCAGTTTACAAAGACCTCATCGAAGGATCAATATATAGAAGCACATATGAGAAGGCAAAAGAAAGTTTATTGACCTCAAAACTAAATAATTATCTGCTTTTATCCCTTCTCCCTTTAATTTTATGTTTTTTGAACAGGTAAGAAATATTAGCATGAAATGATTTATAAAATTTTGGTTTTATTCCTTTTTGGGATACAAATTCAAGTAGAACATTGTTACAAATGGTCATACACTTGCGGAAAAGAGGAGGGGATGGACCTACATCTTTCTTATTCAGGTACAGCCTAAGTATTACATTTGAAACCCTAACTACAATCTAAGGGGGGAATTTAAAAATAATAACTTAACTATTACATTTATCTAATTAAATACATTTTAGCAAAAATTAAAACCTATCTATTACATAGGCTAGCTAAATACATGTCTTGAGCACCTATCTATTGTAATTTGGCATATTAATGCCTCACAAATAATCATCAAAATTAAATAGAATAAATGAAACTTAAAATTAATAAAATGAGTAATTAAAGGAAACAAAAAGCACTCAAAAGATGTAATTACACATAAAAATCACATAAGAGCACATAAGAGAAGTTAATATAATAAAGAAGATACCTCCCTTGAAGTTGTGGTTGAATGGGGTGAAATTTGCCTTTTTATGCTCCAAAATCAGCAAAATGATCAAGGCATCAATTTAATTATAAAGAAATAAAAATAATCATGAAATCAATCAATTAAAGCACTTAAATGAAGTATAATTAACAATTAAAAAAGAAAAGCAACTTGTATTTAAGAAATCAAAACTATTAGGGATCTAATTGCAAAAAATGAGAAAGTTTTAGGAGTCAATTTGTAATTATTACAAAATTTAAGGGTAAAAATAAAGGAAAAATAAAGTTTAGAAACCTATTTGCAATTACATTTGGAACCTAATTGAAAGAATTTAAAAGTTTGTAGGATCACAATAAAATTACTCAAACGTCTAGGGACTGATTTGCAACTTATATTAGCAGATCTTAAGAGAAGTGGGCCATCGGGCCATCGGGCCATCGGGCCATCTTTCTTATTTCTTTGTGCCAAAGCCTCCTAAACCCAATCAAAAGTCCAAGGCAAAAGAAGCAGGCCAGTCCATCATTTTGACCCAAAATAATCCAACAAGACTGATGGGCTTCAACCCTTCAACCCAAGATAAAAACCCAAAAAAAAAATAAACCAAACCCACTCTCTTAAACCCAAACAAAAATAACCTTTTAATCCAAATTACCTATTTCACTAAAACGCAACATGATAAAATCAACTAAAATTATTGAACCCTAATATTGACCTAAACCCAGAACTATTCTGCCCAAAAACATGTTTAAAATATGCAAAAGATGATTAAAATTTAAAAGGGGTCAAAATGGTCTATTTGCAGAAGTTTTGGGCTATAGTGAAATTATATAAAAATCGGGGGGTGAAACTGTAATTTAAAAAAAAGCCGCCTTGCACGAAGAAGCTTTCTTCCTTCTGGAACATTTCTGGGTTTTCATGTCAAAATGGAGGGAACCAAAATCCAAACAAGTCAAGTCAAAACCACGATATTTCACGATCCTATCATCAATACCCGACCTTATTACATAAATATCATATCTTTAATCAAAATCAAAGCAAGAATATGAACTAAATGATACACAAAAGGAAGAAAAATATTAAAAGATTGAAATAGCAAACACAAGTACAGGAGAGTCTTGACGGATTTCGGTCAGGATTTAGGCTTACATAGAGATGAAGCGAGCAAAAAGAGCTACCTTTTAATGAGAGGATGCAATAAACTTTGAAGGAAGATGAACTTAAGAGCGACAAAGTGAAGCTGCAAAACTTCCAGGAACTCACTTCAAAACTGATGGTGTGATGAATTTTGGCCCAGATTTGAGAGACTTGCAAGCCTTTTTTCTAAAGATCTTCTGAACAAAGATTATTTCCTAGTGAGCGTAGATGGTGTAGATGTAAAGAAAAAACATAAAGGGGTAAAACTGAGATCGGATTTGGACCATCAACAGAGCCAAACGATCAACCCTGGCTCAGTTTTCGGGCATGCACCAGTGAAACGAAGTAGGGGATTTGGGGTCCGAATTTGGGGGCTTTTTCAATGTTTTTGTTAAGAAGAATCTGAACAAAACCTCTTCTCCTAACTACCTAGTTTGTACAGAAACGAAAAGCTACTCGAATCAAGCTAAAATGAAATACAAAATCCCTTCACAAAATGGCTGAAAATCAGCCCATTTTTGCGAAATTTCTGCAACAAGTCTTTCTTCCTTTTCTCTCCGTTTCTCTCTCTTTTTGCTGTTTTTCTTTTTCCTCCACCGCTCTCCCTTGTTCCTTCTCTTTAGGGCTGCATTTACGAGCCTTTTATAGGCACAAAACACCTCCCAAACCCTTGCTTCAATGGTGCAGATGAAATGGGTTTAAGGATCCTATAAATGTTGGGAGGATCTGAACTACTGCAAAATAATTCGAGCTTAAATCCAAGTAATGCAAATGCTACAAGTTCACTAACGAAGGAGTTATCTGGCCTCCCAAGCAAGTTTTACGCAGGATAGAGATTTAATTTTGGATGTCCCCATTGATAAATCGATCGGAATAAAAAGTAGCATTATTACAAAGATCAAGTTTCACAACATGCCGAGTGTTCCTGCCACAGTCAATTCCTTCCTATAAACAACAGTCTTTTCTAATCCAGGATGCCGAACGATTTGATTTGTCAACTAGACCTCTCTTAAATTCGAGAAGAGCTTTTTGCTCGCTCTCAAAGCAGCTTACATTTGAATATGCTCTTACGTAGAAACCAAAATCAATCCTGCCTGCCAACAAAACAAATCATAACATAATGAATGGAGTAAATTTGATCATATTGTTACCAACTAACAGACTCGTATGTCAGAGATTTTTTTTTTTTTTACTTTTCTTTTTTGGTTTCTTTAATAATTAATGCTTTCACACAATATTCATGTGAAGTTTTGAGTGCGTTGAGCAAAAATCACAAAACCTCTACTTTTAGGTCCAATGTTTAGTGGGAAACGTAGTTCAAAAGTTGCTTGACTAACATCTATTGAAAGAGACAAAAGGAGCAAAATAACCCAGGAAACTCTGGAGAGAGTAAAGGGGTTCATCCCCTAACCTACATCCAATAAGTAGCTTAAATTCCTACTGGTGGCCACTGGATAGGGGCCCAGTGGTTGCTCTTGTTCCTAACTCCCTTTCAAACCAATTCATAGGTTGCAAAACATATTCTTTTGAATTATAGGGATCATTAATGGCAAAACTATACAAGCATGGGTTTAGCCGATTCAGTCCTTTATGTAAACGGGTGGGGTGTCCTGCGCTCATAACAAGAATAACCAAAGCAGAGGAGGGGATTTTATCCCCCATCGTGTCTCCAATGCTTAAGCCAAAGACAGGGAAGTGGGAAGAAGGCTTAGGAATAGAGTAACGAGATGATTAGAAATTATTTGTTACCTCAAATGTCCGGAGAAAAGGGAGTATTTATAGGCAAATTATATATTGTAAGTCAAGTTATCTTTATGATCGTGGATAGGGTATAAGTCAACTGTAGATATGTCAAATAAGTCCTATTGTCAATGTCAGGCGGCACAGATCACATCAATCACATCAAAATGAGAATGCTCTTTAATTGGGACTTCTCAAATTATATATTAATATCTTAACGAGTAAGATTCAACTTGAATTCCTAATCTCCACGAGACAGATATCGAATCCCACAATAACCTTCCTTGTTGAATTAAACGCAGGCTGTTGTAAATATCAATTTAAACACCCTTCAACAAACTTTTCTTTTTAATCCCAATTGCTTGAGTTCTATGCCATTGGAGTTCAAAAATAGTTGAGTTTGACTAGTTCACCAAAAAGATTTTGTTTTCTGTCCTAGTTCAAAGTAATTCTGCATACAATAGAAAGTCAGGAGATGTCAATATGGCATAATAGAGTAATTGCCAATCACATATTCTTTTTCTTTTATGACAATATTACATGCCAAACTACACGAGAAGAATTGACAACTTGTTATCAATTCCTTGATTTGTGCGTGTTATCCTTGCGCAGAGGCAAGAGGCCATGCCAATCTTCTCCGTATCGTTCCAATTTTTTCGGATGTCCACGAAGGGACCAACTTGTTCAAACTAGGAGTGTAAGCTCCATAAGGAGGCCTGTCATTCTTCAACAGGTTGATATATTATTATTACAATTGACACAGCACCATGCATTTGAAGCTGTCATGCTGCAGTTGAATACTGCAGATTGAGAACGAGTACCAAAATGTAGAGAAAGCTTTTAGAGACAAAGGTCCACCTAATGTCCGATGGGCTGCAGCCACAGCTGTAGGACATCAAATTGGCTCGCATGGGAAACGTGCAAGCAAGATGATGCACCTGATCCAGATGTAATCACTTCTCTAAAATCAATAGGATATCAACTATATGAATATCCTCGAGAAATTTTTCAGTAGGCCAATCTTAGCTAGTCTATATTAATGATGCATTTCTAAACAACACGAACATTTAATGTATGGCTTGACAAATTTTTAACGTGTGAAGCATGAGTATTCTTTTCATGAATGCATCATCTTTTCACACAGTATTAAGATTGATGCAAAAGGGGCTACCGTTGCAGTTCCACTGCCTCTGCAAAATGAACAAACTCAGGTTTTCAAAATTTGCAGATAAAACACGATAAGGGGAGGAAATGTCGAGTGACATTAATAGGGTCTAATTCGCCCAACACACCATCAATCTGGACAGATTTGGACAAGTCTGTAAGAAATCAAACCATAAGGGTCAGTGTATAGATGCATAGATGATTGAGTGTAACAAGATATCCTGAGAATTAGTTTTCTGTTTTGGCTTGAAGTTATCAAGTCTATGGATCAGCACAAGATATTACACTCAATGCTTTAATAATACCAAGGAAGAACAGAAGCTTTATAAACTAGTACAGGCTGAGAGACAGAAACAATCTCACAAGACTTCCACCCCTCCACCATCTTGAAGGAGTGATATGTAAACCATTTCACCTGATTTACGATGAAAATCCATTTTATCTCATCCATAACGATATGGAATGAAAATCCATTTTATCTCGTCCACTTAATTTAGATATACTGTTAATCAATTATAGCTCATAGTACCAAAAGTTTGATGTAACATGGTTGGTTGTGTTAGTTGTGCTCTAGGGTTATGGAGGTACCAATATTGGCAGAACAGCATCATAATACATAATCACAATTTTTTTTTTTTGTAAGTATAATCACAATTTATTATGATCAAGCTCCTATTGATGAATATGGTAGGCAATCCAATCTCACGGTATAATTAGATTCCAGTAACAAGCAAAACTTATGGACCACCTCAAGGAGTAACATGCAGCAATAAAGCTATCCTCACATACAATACTCTCTAGATAACAACCATAGCACCATTAGGTTAGCAATAAGAAAGATTAGTAACTTCATTTTTTTTCAGATGGAGGTTATCTCATTTTCCATATTGAGCTTTCTCTGAAGCTAGCAACCATGACAGTACCTGGTTATCCATTTCAACTCTCCCGCTAAGGGGAAATAAATGGAAGAATAAAATCAACAAAATATTCATCAGATGTTAAATACACCACAATACTGATCAACTTAATTGACACAGGCCCAACATATGCAATGCAGAGTCACTGTGGAGCTTTCCTTGTGAACAAGGACAATGCAACATAACTGGTGGTGCAGTTCCAAAATCCTTCGTATGAACTACCTCAAACATCAATTTAGAGCTTTTATTTTTACCTGATTACAAGACCGTAGCATTCAACACCACCCAGGCAAGTTTTGGAGCTTTTAATTTTATCATTTGGAAATGTCACAAAACATCTTAACTGCAAAAAAAAAAAGGTTTCACTAGATGAATGTATCTTTGGTCTAAACATTGTGCAGAGCACTTTCACCTATTTCCCAACCTTGTTTAATTGCAGAAGGAAGCAATAGTGGAAGTAAAAACATATTCACTATGATTAGGTTTCCCATTTCCTCCCCATATACAGATAAAAGGTATTCCATATTGTATAAAAGAAAAGTCTTACTGCCATTGCACCATCACAAAGGAATTAATCATAGTAAGTGAAAACTTTGGAACAGGTAACAAGAAATCAATTGTACCAGTGATGAAGTTTGACTCAGTAGACCAGTAGAGTGAAATCATAGATTCCCATATGTGAAGATACCCCACTAAGATAAAACCCATTATTAGAGCACAATATTGATCTTTAAATCTATTTACAAAATATAAGATCATTCTGTAAAGAAAAGTCCATTATCTAAAAGTTCAAAGCTTCAATGCACCTTTTATGATCTTATCGCATGTCAAAAAATAATACTAACAGTTCAAATCCTTCTCTCTTTTTTTTTTCTCTCATCCATGTTTTCTTGAAACACATATAGTTTGAGTTGTACGCGATTTGAAAGAAATTCATTTGATTGGAAACAACAGATTATGTTTGATGTTCCTTTAGCAGTAAACCTTGGCTGCATGGGTAAAGGTGAAGCATGGATCAATGGCCAGAGTATATGTAGGTATTGGGTCTCATTCCTCGCAGCTGATAGCTCTCCATACCAGACCTGGTATTTTGTTACTATATATCTTTATACTTATCTTTAAACTTTAAAGCTATTTCTGTGTACTGATCTAGATTAGAAGGAAATATAGACACAAAATGTTGTTGCACCAACTGCAAAAGCCTCCGAAATACTAAAGTAATGCAAATCATGGGATTCAATTTCATCTTCCAAAAAAAAATAATAATAATAATTGCTGTGTATTGCACTCCGCAATGTAGGGAACTTAAATTAGTATAGTGCACCCAAAAAGTTTTACTAAGATGTCAAAAAGGGAAAGTTTTGTGGCTACATTTAACATTTTTTGAGATGCATAAAGAGCAAAAACTTATCTAAGAGTGTAAAACATGAAAGGTTTGAATAATTGTAATCTCATTCATTACCTTTAGGGAATCTTTCAGTGCTTTGAACATTTACCATGAACCAATTTGATCATCACATATGCTAATCCAATTAGCTAGAAGTCTCTATTGCTATTATCTCTGATGTTGAATAATATGCACTATCAATGAAAACATACGGAAAAAACCCACACCACTTTGTAGAACTTGTAATCATTTCCTCAAGAGTAAATATTTAAACACAACATTTAGTCAAATTGGGTAATTAGGAGGATGATTATCAGTCCCTCAAATTGGAACATCAGTGTAAAAATTGAAACTTAAAATAGCATATCAGTCATTAAAGGAACAATGTTTATATGAAGTAGATGCTTAAAGAATACTTGTCGCAAGTTGTTCTTGGGTAATCATCAATCTCAGTCCAATAATAATACTCTTCAAATAGAATCTACCTCCCCTTCAGATGTGATAGCTGTAGAATCTAGATACCAACAGAGTGTTTTGAACAGACAGATATGGTGCTACTCTTGCCTCGCTGTTGCTACATTACCTGCAATAGAACAATGAGGATAAATCCTGTCAGAAACGTTTGATGCTTTTTAGTGACTTACCCTACAAAGAACTAGTGACTAGCAATATCAGTGCCACAGTTATGTAACATTTTATTTTCATTCATAATAGCTTAACTCTTCTTTTAGGAAAAGTGTCTTCCAAGTATTCTTTATGGTCCTTATCTTTTTCTTAACCGCACAATAAAGATGAAGAGCAACAAAAGAAATTCACAGATGCTGCATCTCCAAATGCACATACATGCAGAGTGAAAAAAAATCATGCTTGATGAGCAGTTCAGCAGAAATCAAACAAGAAAGTCACCTTTGTACCAAAAAACAGAAAGAAAAGAAACAATTGATCAGAAGAATAACGCAGTAAAGAGAAACAACAGTAGCCGAAAGATAGGAAATTGTGCCTCCAATTACTGCTACAATATCTGCAATTAAAAATCTCAGACTATCATACAGCAAACAGGTCTCCAGATTCCATCTGTTTGACAATCACTTCAGCTAATTTTGCACATGCAGGAAATTGTTTCCTTGAAGAATAACTCCAACCATTATGAATAAAAAAAATGAAGAACAACATTTTCATTTCCATCCATACTTCTACTTCTGGCATTGTGCGCCCCCTTTTTCCTTTCTTTTGACTTGGCAGGCTTAACTTTTTCAGCATCGCAAAACCTTGAAGGCAGTATTGCTTTCTGTGAAGGTAACTCAGCAATAAAAAGTAGAGTTTGGGCCCAGCCAGCATATTTCCCATATTTGCACACAAAAGCATCTGCCACGCGGCTGCAAAGTTTTGGTGTAAAACGGGTGCCTGAAAGCTCAGGGATGAGGTATTGCGTTGCAATCTTTCTCAACCCATATTAGAAGGATATTCTAGTTAGCAGTTTATAGAAATCAAAATCTTAAGAAATAGAGGTAAAATGCATGCCATATGTATACCAATAAGGTAAGTTCTATTTATGACCAGGTAATCTTCGTTGGGTGTATCACTTTCATAAGATGCAACACCTTTTTCCATGCAGAAGAATAAAAGTAAATTGACAAGGTGTAATGCCATACAACCTTGAGTCCATTTTCTAGTATTTTTTCTACGACAGTAATAACCTGCCCTTTCCTTGTTTTAGCTAAACAATTTATTACCCTGAGAACAGCAAGAGCTTTTACCAAACTATCAACTAGGATTTTTACTTCCTCAATGCCTCTTTCTATTTTTTTTTTCCTTTTTTATCCTGGTTTGGAGTTGGAGGGGAGGGTGTTGGGAGTGTTCCACCTTTAATATCTCTGAAATACATTCAAGCGAAAATCAGCCAAGAATCAGTTCAAAGAAAAGTTATGTACTTGAGCAGTGACCGGTATCTATAAACTGGAGTCAAAAACCTCAAAAATGTTTACTATAGGTTACAAGAAAGGTGGGATAATACATAAGCTTTTCTCCTTGTCAAACAAGCCTCTGAGGACTGGAGAGCATCAACTCAAGTTTTTTTATCAGCAGAAAACATTAAGAATGTCAAAGATCCTCATCATATCAGTTTATTATGGGAAATGTACATCTTCAAAGATCAATTTTCAGGGGCTAACCTGCCACACATGCGTATCAACAGGAATAGCATGGTGTTGATCTAGAGAGAAGAGTGCTATGCAGGCAGCCACCTTGGGACCAACTCCAGGTAACGAAGCAAGAGCATCAACAGCCTCTTCAAGATTTAGTTTACGAAGAGCAGCAAGCCATTGCAGACCACCGCTGGGTTTTGATTGCAAAGCCTCTACGGTACCTATAATGTACTTTGCCCTATTCATGTTTTGACAATGAAAATATGGTTAAATATCTGCAGCATTTGAAATAAAAGATCAAATGTACAAAGATTCAAGTACCTTCAATAAAGTACAATCCTGCAAATAAAGTAGTAGAAGGAGAATGATTTGCATGACCTTGGAGAACATTTTATTTGATTGAGATTATTCAGAAAAATAAGAAGACTTGGGTTGGCAGATATTAGATGTAACTATCTTCTTGCAAGGGACTAGCTTCCTAACTGCAGAGTTTATTATTGTCTCCCAATGTATGTTTTCTCATTAATACTATATGCTTAAGATGTTTGTCATATAAATGTTTCCAGAGCATGACCATTTATCTCTTTAAAGGATAGAAGTTTCTTTTTGTTAGTGGAGTTGATTTGGGAATTTAGGGAATTCTCCACCTCAAATTTTAATTTAGTGTAGAGCTTGAGAATTTATTAGAGATTCATGAATCATGTAAGAGCTTCCTTATCAGGCAAGGGACGTAACTTCTAAACCTGCCCCTAACTGCAATAGCTGCCCATCACTTGGTTTGTTAGGTCACTAGATTAAGATACTTATTGACTAAAAGCAGCATCTGTGAATTCCTTAACCTAGGTAAATAAACATTTACTACGTGGATATTTGATATCGAAGAGACTAAAGCTTGCTACAATTGTCATCTAAGTGCAAGCTTGGAGAGAGTTTGAGAAAGAGAAGATTTAGAAAATTAACACACAAGAATACAGTTCAGGTAAAGCATGATCTGATGAGTGTACAAAAGAATCCAGCATGTTAGCATAAGGAAGAAAGAAAAATTTTTCAAATCTTGTTTACTTTGTGTGGACAGGTAACTTTGACATTCCAGGATAAAAAACTACATCATAGAAAGATTCCGATCCTTAATGCTGGCATCATGCTATACTCTTTACCATGCATAATCTGATTGATTCAACAAAAAAACTAAGAAGTCTAAACTAATTAATCCTTCTTTTTAAATGCTAAAATAGCTAAAATCAAGTTGTTATAGGTAAGATACTCTGTTTAATCAGGACAAAGTCAACCCATATTTAAGTGAACCTTAAAATCATTTAGTAATTTGTGCATATCTATGAAATTAAAATTGCGCAAAACTACATATAGCCATCACTAAACTATCTACAACAGATTAAGCTAAACCACAATCAGACCAAAGACCTTTTCAGAGAGCTGGGGCTCCCTAACTGGTACAGTTAGAACAAACTTCAGTTAAACCAGTCAGTAAGATCATCCCTTTTCCACTGATAAATTCACAAGGTCTGCCTTCCATAGCAAATTAAAACTGTCATACTCGCTAACTTTTGAATCTGCTGTCAAATCCCGGACTAGTGAATTGCAATTCTATTGTACCATAATTGGTCCATTAATCTTTGCAGTGTTTTATAAGTGAGCCGGATTATAAGATGTACTAAGAAAAAGAGAAAATTGAACCCAGACGCATCCTTTCCTGACAACCTAAGCCTACTACCGGATCCCTGTTCCGATTTGCATCACTAAGACAAATCAGCTTACACTTTACAGAAAAAATAGCTAAGAATAAAGAATTTAACTGACCACAACCACGTATAAAATCAATTTATCCTTATTTTTGTAGCATGTTTCTATGTTTCTGTCATACTCATCATTACTACTACAATTTTTTTCAAGCCCTCCAGGAAATTAGATTCTTGCAAAGATTAGCAGATCTTTCATTGATTACTTTGACTGAGACCATATTTTTCACATTTATTCCTATTTCACTTCCAACTTTAGATTTGCTTATGTTTTCACATTCACTCCTATACACATCAAAATTTAGATTTGCTTTTTAGGCTATAATGACTATCTTATCAACCAACATTCATGGAGCCTTTTGCCTCAGCTCCACTAATTTCCCCCATAACATAATCACAATTCTCATACAGGGGTTCAGACTAAAACAAGAAATTGCCACTTGATGCCAAATAGAAAAAGAGCAATTCAATCACCATTAAAAGCACACATATGCTAGCTTCAATTGCACAATTAGTACTCAGAAGACCCAAAATTTCCCTACTGAACAAATCAATTTCTAATTCTAATCGTACAATAAAATGAAAAATCTTACATTTTGCAGAAGGTTACAGTATAAATAACAGAATATGATCCAAGAATCCAACCTGTAACCAAAACCGGCCTCTCTGAGCTCTGTTTCAGAAACCATAGCCAACCGATTAATCTCCGGAAACTGATGAAAATCATACCCTCCAACATTCCCCAAATACTTCCCCAAAGAAGACAAAAAATTAACCATTTTAGTAATCCTCCCAATATTGTTATTCGATGAACAAATAAACTGAATTAAACACTCAAGAGGGTCCTGTCTAAGCACTCTGGCTCCCTCCAAATAGCTTGCCAGCTCACAAAACCGCAAATCAGACACCTTAAATTCCTCCCAAATTTCAGACAAAGAAATCCCTAAATTCAGAAAGTCAAAAAGCGCCAATCTTGCACTTTCCTCACACTCTGTATGATGAAAATGGTAACCCACATCACCATTCTCAAGCTGCTTCAGTGACACCAAGTGGGGCCCAATAACACCTGTGTATTGAAGTGGGCCAGTTTCTTTCCACCTGAATGTTTGGCCTGTGGGGAAAGTAAGAGGTAAATAAAGCTCTGATTTTCCAATACTCAATGGTACCCATTCCCCGCTGGCTTTTGTGGTGATTGCAGGAGAATTCTTGAGTATGTTTTTGGGTTTTTTGGAAGCAAATATGGAGTTCAGTTTGACGGGGAAATGGGGAGATTGATGTGGAGATGATGGAGGGGTTGATGATGCAGGTTGGCTTGATGTTTTTCTCTTCATAATTCGGAGTTTTGTTAGTGATGCCACAGATTGATTGCTTTGAAGCATTGTTTGAAGCTGAAGAGAAGGGGAAAAGATGTCAAGGTACCATTTGGCTAGCATATTTTCAGGGTTAATAACACTTTACCACCCTGAACTTAGTGAGTAGTCACACTTTACCCCTCCAATGTTAAATGTGTGCACTTTACCCTCCTATGAAAACTAGTCAAGGTTAGAAATATTGAAAAAAAAAAAAAAAAAGTGAGTGCAATAGCATTATTGCCCTTTTATTTATGAAATTATCTATAACTCATTGTTATTTATTTCCTCTCATTGTTAAAAAGTATGCATCTTCTCTATCTTATCAACTATATAACAATATTTGAAAAAAGCTAAAAAAAAGTTTATATTTAGTTTAGATGCTTAAGATTTTTTATGTTGGATTAATATTCACTTTTATATATGTTTTGTTCAATTTATTATACTTTAAGTCAAATAAAAATAATAAATAACACAATACTAAAATAAACATATAATTACCAAATTTCTTTTTCAAAAAAAAAAGGTAATAGTACTAAAAAAGTAGTTTTTTACTATTTTAGTTTATGTGAACTTTTAGGCTAATACTATTTTCATTTTTTGTTGATATATTTAGAGCTTACTATTATTGCCTTTTCTTTTTAAAAATGAAATTTGATTCAGTTTCCATTTTCCTTCTCTAATTTTAAAAATAAGGCATATCAGCCATTTGATTAAGAATTTAATATTGGACTAATTTGATAAATAAAAATGAAAATAATAAATAAAAATAATAAAAACTACTTTAAAATGAGTTTAGCATTACCCTTGATGGGAAAATTTGGCAGTTGTATTCATTTTTACTGTTGTCTTAATTATCCATTTTGTTTGAGTTAAAGTCTAATATATTGAACAAAACATATATAAATGTGAACATTAATCCAACAGAAATAATTTCAAAGATATAAACTAAATATTAATCGTTTTTAACTTTTCTTAGTTTGATATTCTATATAGTTGATATGATTGAGAAGCTATAAATATTTTAGCAATGAAAGGAAATGATACTAAGTTATGTATGAGTTCATGAATAAAAAGGTAATAACGTCATTGCACTCAATTTTTTTTTTTTTTTGGTATTCCTAACTCTGACTAATTCTTATGGAGCTAAAATGTATATTTGAAGGTTGAGAGGGGGAAAGTGCGACTACTTCCTTAGTTCAGGAGGACAAAGTGTTATTAACCCCATTTTCTACTATTTAAATAATCAATACAAGTACAAAACATTCTTGGTCAATACATCAATCATCATCTTGTTGGAATTTGAGGCAAGAAGTAGTGTCCCTCTACAATTTTATCTTAGGATACAAAGCTCCTAATATTTATTCAGTATAATAAGGACTTGCAAATTATATTAGTATAATTTAGTTGGTTAAAGAAAGGGTTAATTGCAAAACACCTACCTCAACTATCTCTATTTTGTAACTTGCCCCTGAACTACCAATTGCAACAATGTATCACTTCCTACTCTCAAATTTTGGCAGATTACTCGAACCAAATTGAACAAGAGTTGGAATGCCAAATTTATCTAAATCAAAGAAATCAAGTAGCCAAAAATCCACTTATTTTGCAAATGTTAAACCGACCACTTCAATCTAAACCAAGCATATTAATAGCTTTTCCTTCGAATATAAAATTACTTTTTTATGTATTCCAGCTTGTAGCTCTCTATTTCCTTTTGACTCAGGACTCTGTCTCCAACTCCAAATCACCAGTTAGCTTTAGTTCTAAATTACTACTATAAGGTTTCCTTATTTGTAGTTAGTAGTAATTTTCATGGAATAGCACTACACTTAAGAACGCAACTACAACGACTCAGGTGTTGCAATCTTGCAAAATCTCTAAATCAAAGGCAAAATTCACTAATTTGGCTTTTTGTCAAAGCAAGGTGGCTTTTGTCTTGCTATTTTCGTTGAAACCTTGGAGAATATTCATCTTAATCATCAAGTATTGGATCTCGAATTTGCCCCATAAATTTGATTTCCTCAACCCTTTATTTTTCCTTCCTTATAATGGACTTAGAGATGGCTTAGCTCAAAAAACCCACGCAAAGAAAAGGGAAGGGAAAAAAAGGCCAATTGGATTTGATAAAGAAGCATTCATCTTTTTTATTTTTAATTAATTAAATGAATTAACTCCTTGACTCAACCAAGTTGTTGATGGCAATAGTAATCTCTACATTGTGATTAAATCTGCCAAATGAATCTGATGCAATTGTTGTTATTATATGGGTCTATAGTAATGGTGATACATGGGAATAACAACAATAGGAGAAGAATAGGGGGGAGTTTGATAGTGGAACTACCTTTGCTCTTGTCCATGCATGATGATTCTTGATTGTCTATAAAATTCCCATGAGGATGTGCCAAAAAGATTTTTGAAGAAAAATATTATTAAAGAGAAAAGAAGATTAATTTGGCAACCACAATGACAATGATTTTGACAGTGTAGGGAAGGAGAAGATGAAAAAAGAAAACGAACAAAAAGGTATTCTAGGAAATGTAGTTATTTAGGGGACAATACAGTCTTTTGTCCAAAAAAAATTGCTAAATTGACCTAATTTGAATGTTTTACCATAAATTGAAAGCATAAGTCATTGGATTGTTGCAATTAATGGTATAGGGTGTAATTGATGGTATAGGGGGCAAGTTACTAGGATAGTTGAAAGGCATATTTTGCATTTAACCTTAAAGAAAAATCTAAAACCAATGAACAAAAAAAAGTATCTAAAGCCAACAAATAGATGTTACCAATAACATTGTATAATTTAGTTGGTTAAAAAAAAAAGTGCAAATGACCTAAATCATCCTTCCAATCTTTTTACCAATTTAGGTTATAGTTCTCTATCTCTAAAATAGAACAATATAGTCCTCCAATTAAGAAATTTTTTTTTTTGCTGAATTGGTTCCTAAATAACAAACTAATCAAAAAAATTCAAATCTCACTACTACTATTGAACACTTAATGCAGGGTAGATTCATCGAATCAAGTAGGGTAGATTTTTCAAAAGAAAACTAAACCCTTTCTCTTTAAAGTTAGCTGAAAAATCTTCCAACCCTAGAAGAAGAATAGTGACTGATTCTTCATCCTCAATCTATGCCATGAAAGCGAGAGTGCATAGCCGATTTTGTTGAAATTTTTTCACATTAATCTCGGTTTTTTTTGCCAATCAATCAAGCAAAAAGATTGTGACATAAAACAAGGCATAGAGATTTGCATTTAATGACAAATGAAGTGATGAGTGGATCTTTTTTCAAAATTGGAGGGCCAATAAAATCATATATTGCTATTGTAGTGAGGTTGTTTGGATAGTAATTAGTAATCTTGTAAAAGTCTTTCCTTTGCAAAAATTTTATGGTTGCCCTAAATATGAAATAATGTCACTGATTTTATGGTTATCAAAGAAGATTTCATAAAAATTGGGGTAGTATAATGTAGTATATGATGGAATATCTAATTGAATGAGGTATTTAATTTTTTTGAAAGACAAGACAAAGAAGTTTACAGCTACTTCAAATGGTAAAGTCATTCTAGAACCTTATAAATGCAAAAAATAGAATAGTAATAGTTGAACTGGAATGATATAAAGGTAAAATAAAAAGTTTCTATTGCTTGTTATTCACTTATTTAGTTTAGCCTTTTGAAATGCCCTATAGATTTGCTTGCTTTTTGGTGATGTTGATATTTAAGTCAGTGTGCATCTCCTATGTGAAGTCTCCAATGCTAGTCATATTCAATGTCAAGTAACTCATATATTTCTTGGTAGGATAAGTGGTTGTAACATATTTTAGCTTCAATAATCTACTATAACTATGTTTAGGTCCCATTGTTTTCACAAGATAGAACTCACAATGTTTGGACTTTCAAGTCAGGATAAACCACTTGCAATATGGTTGTTGATAAACTGCCATCATTCGAATTTTGTCATTTTTTTTTAAATAATACATCTCTATCTCCATTTGAAGTTTTCAATTGCCTTCTTAAAATTAGATTCGCAAGTGAATTTTTGTCCAGCATTCAATTTTGGATTGTACATGTCACTAGTAGCCTAATTTTTTAAAAATTTTATAAAACTTTCTAACATGTATTTTCTCATTCTCTTAATCTTCTTTACTATATATATATATATATATATATATATATATATATATATATATATATATATATATATATATAATTCAACCAATATTTCGAAGCCATCCACCTAAAAAAAATCTCGTCCCCTTGTCTTACTATAGGATGGAAAGTGAAATAAAAGCTACAATAAGTAAAAAGAATTTTCAACCTCTGTCAATCAACATGAATCTCCACAAAACAAGACTATCAAAGTTTGATTACCTGAAGCTAGACCAAAGTTAGTGATTTTGTAATTTATCCTATAATATTTTCTAAAACCTTGTGGCAGATTTCATTCAATCAGGCAACAAGTTTTCTTAAAAATGTAGGCAACAATGGATTAAGTAATGTATTACTCCTTGTCTTCTAGAAATCTTTAACTCAATGGTGAAGTACACTTGTACAAGTAGTCATGTACAAAGCATCTCTCCAAAATAGTCTTGGTGCTTTCTTGCGTTTGCTGTTTTTCTTTTAAGCCCTTGAACTGTTAACCATTTTGTTTCAGGAAAATTTCATCATTGATCCTTTTACAGATGTTGAAACATAGACTAAGTTACAATAGGAACATCTCTTCAAAATTCCATGTACATGTTGCTTGCTGGATGACACTATTACTACAGGATGGTCAGCAAGTCTTTTTACTTTTCAATTATAAGGCTAATGTCTTTTATTGACTTAATTATTATAGTAATGGGATGAAATTATCTTTTCTCACATTGTTTCCTGCTGAAGCCTGAAGTTTCCAAAAGTCAATGGTTACATGGATACACTTTTCATTTGTGGGTAAGGTTGACCTGAGTATGTCTTTTATATTTGAAAGTTTCCCTGCAAAATTAGAGTTTCTTTTAGAAATTTTTTACAAAAGTACCATGGTTGTACTTGTTTTGTATGTTTG